GATATGTTTCAAGAAAATCTTTTCTTTTTTTTGACATTTCATTAATAATTATTTGTTCAGTTGGTTGTTCAACAAATGAAAATAGATTAGCACCAACAAACAAATAAATAAGAAATATTAATGTAAAAATAAATAAATTTAGTTTCGTTGTATAACGATTTAACATTATTATTTTATATACAAAAGACCAAAAATCTGCAATATGGAAAAGACTTTATTTTTGGTTTTCTCTTATTCGATATTTTATTTTCTTCTTGTTTTTTTATGATGTTTCTTATGATACCAACGAACAAATAATAAACAAAACAGAAAAAAAAACCCTAAATTTCATTAATTATTGTTCGCGCATTTCACGTAAACGACGTACAGCTGAACGAACAGCAGCAGCTGTTGATGTTGAATAAACATAAGCACCACCGGCTACAGTCTTTTGACATGAACGACATTTCCAAATGCCAACACATTTACGTTTCATATTATCTTTACCACAAAATGAACATGTGTATTTTGAATGTTGAGTTACTTCCATTTTTTTAACCATTTTACGTAGTGATGCACCATAACTAAGAAATAAATAATAACAGTTTGATAATTGAACGAGTTATTTTTTTTTCTTTACCGTGTGCCATATTTGCCAACAATGCCGACTTTTTTGGTTCTTTTGGCCATTTGTTTTTATTAGATTATTCAACGAACGATGTAAGGAAAAATCTGTTCGATCTGAAATATTAGTTAAAAAGTTAATTAATGAATTTCTTATTTTTCGATATTAGGAAAGCACTCGAAGTGATATCTTACTTGTGAAATGAGACATCAGGTCTTACATAATAACTGAAATCTCATCTCAAATGCAAGATATCACCTCAAATGATTTCCTCGACTTGCTATTTATGTATTATCTACAATTAATAATACACAAAAAAAAACTAAGACTTGTTTCAAGTACAATGGCATTCATTCAATAAAAACTATTCTATTTTATTTTTTGTTCTTCATGAAACTAACCATTTGAATATTTGAGAAAAGTTTCATGCTTACAATCTAAAACTAATTGTTCCATGTTTTAATATTAACATTATTTGGATAACAAAAACACGCATTCGGATTTAGTATATTGAATAAAATATACACATTGATGATATACTTGTTTGTTTCAGCGCATGATTATTGGATAGCTAACTGTTATTTAAAGAAAGTAGTGTATGATTTATCATCTATGGATTTCTATGTAAGTTTTTAGGAAAAATAAAATTATGTCGAAACAAACAAAACTATGACTGTCGATGCAATCTAATCCGTTCCCTAACTTTGATAGTAGCGACGACGATTGAAAGAAGAAAAGATTTAGACCACCACAATGCCTTCGTATTAGAATTATAGAGGACACTATTAATTTTTTTATATTTCTGTATTTTAGTTTTGTTTTATAGTAGAAATTCTGTTTTTTTATTTAAGATTCGATTGAAAAGAAAGAAATTATAAAAAAATATTATTTCTGTTTACCTTCTTTTTAATTCGTTAGATTATTGGTCTTACTGATTCGTTACAATTGCCTAATAAAAAATTCCAATGAATACCTTTAATATCAATTAATTAAAAAAATAACGAGAAAAAGAATTCAAGACAAATTATCTTCAAAACTAAGCTATCGAAATCGACAAATTTGAAAAAAAAAGATTATATATCGTATTGAAACAAGACAGATTACTCCTTTTGTAAGATTTCTGCATAGAACTTCGTCGGAGTTACATCTATTTAAAAGTCAAGTATTTTCACAGAGTAACAAGGTTATTCTTCATATGTTAAGTAATGCACGAAAAATACAATACTTTATAGATTTATTAACAAGTAACATGAAAAGAAATCATATATTCTAGTCAAAAAAGAATTTTCGGAATTTATCAAACTAGGCACAGAACTTGACTTCTGTTTTAGATATTCCAAGATTTATTCATTCATGAAGAAATATTTTGAAGCGTCCGCATTTTTTTGAGCTCAGATTTTGCCTATAATTCGGTCTTAGTATGAGATGGAAAGCTTCCAAAGAGTTTGTTCTCAGGAAAGTAATGGTAAATGCCTTTTCGTTACTATTAAAAAGGAGAAGACTGTAAGTTGTTTTGAGATTGAACTTAATGATAACTAGATTATACTATAGACTTCCTAAGATTTTTCGTTGAGTACGATTACTATTAGGACATCGAACCATGACTTTCATATACATGGAAAATACTCGAACAATTCAAATCTCGACTAGAAACATCCATAGGCATAAACTTTTTGGAAACTTTTCATAGCTCATCAACGTTAGTGTATGGGAAAAATATCAGCTTGAAAGGATATGGACACCTGAGAATGATCCATCGTCAATTCAATGAATCCATACGACATATCTCATTGTTATGAGTATTAAAATTGTCATAGTTATGGTGTAGAAATTAATTTTTCATTAATACTGTTGTACGATAATCGTATTTTACTGCAAAATAAGAAAAGTGATAGACTAAAATGAAAAATATATAATATTTAACGTTGATAGTGGAATGTAACTTTTAATTTTATATTATAAACAATGTGAATATTACAATAAATTATAAAGAATATGTATTTATACAAATTTTAATTTAATTTAATATGATATCTAAGCTGATGGAAAAAATTTTGATAACAACGTATGTTTTTCTCTAATATTAAGCAACTAGCTTAATCCAGATAGTGTTTGTAATAGCCAATGGAGTTTTCAAGGCCACCGAAGATCTTATCGGAATTATTTTTGACAATGTAATTTTAAAGAGCATGAAATGAGGGGTTGCCGCATTTTCTACGACCTTCCCTTAAAATGTTAAAAGTGTCACAAAAACCGTAAAAAACGAAATTTATCAAAATGATGCGTTTTTTTTTTGTGTGATACGTCTAACTTTTTAAGAGAAGGTCGTAGAAAATACAGCGAATCCTCATTTGGTGCTTGTTAAAATGACATTGTTGGAAAATTGTTTTTTGAAACCTGAAAACTAATGTGTCTGGTTTTTTAGAAAGTTTATCACCATCGTTCATCAGTGAAATTTTGGTCCGTTATTGTTAAATTTTTCACTACAATCTTAATTGATATTCTTCCGTATACGAACTAAATTTAATTTCACTTGAGAAAAGTTCTTTTAGATATTTGTTTCTCGTAACTTTTTGATAATTTTATAAGTAGTTAAGTCAAGTTAATCTACTTTTCTCCCCGAAGCAATTCATCCATCATATATAAATGTTTTTTTTTTCATCGTACAATCATCTGTTTGCTGAGATATAGATGATTATTTTCATTATTCATAAATATTGATTTTTATGGTAGTATGATTAGTAAATATACATATTTAAAGTAGAATCATATTCAATTTCTATTTTTTAGTTCTAAGTAATTTCCTATTTATTAATAAATACTTGTTACATATCAACTTGTACTTAATAATGTTTCCACTGCATGCGTACATTCGTATAGATTAACTTTACGGGAATCATTCGAAAAAAATAGTAGCAACCTCTAAGATAATTATGAATATCACAAAGTAGATCTAATTATTCTATAAATCTATTAATAGTCATTGATTGGTAGATTAATGTATAGGGATGAAAGACAGCAGGGTCAAAGAATCTGAATTTTGTTTTGCATCATTATCAGCGTGTCTATTTATAATAGGTAAAATGAATGATTCATCTCATGTAACCTATGCAAATGTTATTGATTTTTATACCTACGAACATGACATTAAACGTAGAAAGTAAACACTTCCTGACATATCAGTATAAAACAGTAGAATAAGACCATTAGTTTTCTTTTTTTGTTTTTCTAATTGATGGTTATCATTTCTCTTTATACGAATAATTTTCTCTTATCAAATAATCATTAGTTTCCAGACTATCTTACTAAAGTATACAGGACGTATCATATCGTATGGTATCGTTTTCTTTTTTTCGAAGAAAATTGTTTTTCAATGATTTTCTTTATATTGATTGAACCAATAGAAAAGAGTAGAGCATCCAAATATGATCAGTCCATCCTTAGAATACCATATCATTTTGTAAATTGCATTGGCCCCAAACAGACCGTCTTAATTCAAAATGAATTAAGAAACATGATTGGTGTTTCTATGTAACAACGCCAATTACATTGGTTAATTCACTTTGAATTAAGTCGGTCTGTTTGGAGCCATTGTCTTCATTCACAGGAAAATCAGTATTATTTTATTTTCGGTTATATCAATAACAAATATTCAAAAGTTTAATGAATTTATATTTCTATTGAATTGATTTTTTTCTAATTTTCAGAAGTTTTTTTTGATTTTTTTGCTTTAAAAGCTGTTTGAAAATGGGTTTCGATCCAGCTGGTAAATGTTTACTTTTTATAATGGTTTGTTTATATTTCTTCTTATAAAAAAAAAACTTTTATATAATCTTCTCTATTAGGCTGTACTTTTACCTCCTGTCGCTGTATATCTTGCTCGTGATAAAGTATGTTCTTGTATGGTCTGTCTTAATATTTTATTGACATTACTAGGATGGATTCCGGGTAAATATTTTTATAACATTATTATTTATAATTTATTTTTTTGTTGTAAGGTGTTATACATGCATTTGCAGTTATTTGCTGTTGTTCACGTTATCAAGTTGATTAATCTTATTAGTTGAAATACATCTTCTTATCCAGCATGATTTATTCACTATTATTCTCTATATAGAAATCTTTCTTTTTTTTTTTGGTTCTAATTGTTCGATATGATTCTTTTTTATTTTGACGAAAAACAAAAACCTAATAAAAAGTTTTTTTTTTCTTCATTCGATGAACAAGTAAAAGTTCATATTATACTAAATAATGATTGCATAAGGTACAAAGAAAAGAAAGAGCGAAAAATGATGTTCCGGATGAGTTATTTCTTTTTTTTTTTTTATTTTATTTTACTCTTTTCTCATGTGTTCATCATCTTTTATCGTAATAATCGAACAATAACAATAAAAAAATGATTCCAATGTTACCAATATGTGATTCACGTGCAAGACTTGTACCTTGCAATCCAGGAATGGGAGGTGTTGCGCCTGCTATGATACCAATGATGCCAATGACAGGAGCGCCTGCATTATGTCCAATGAATAATGCAAATATGTTTTCAATAACATCTCTTATGAGTGAATTTGATTCCCATTTGTATGGTCGATTTCGACATGTTGAACGAGAGAATCCACGTTATCGTCATGCACCGTTTGATTGGTATCGACCACCTAAACAGTGTTATAATGTTATTCATGAAGATGCAGCTGTTGTTACACATGATGGTCCTGTACCTATTGGTGATTTTTATCGTTATTATATTTATGGTGATGATACTGATGATGATGATGATGATTATGATGATAATTCATCTTCGTTGGCATCAGATGAATATGGTGATCTAGTTGAATCATCATATGAACCAAGAGCTAGAGGATATCGACGAGATCCTCGAAGAGATCCTGATTTAGATGATGACTATGTTAATACTAGGCGACAATTAAATCGACCACCAATGGGTGCAGGTAATTATACAACACTTAATCCTAATCGTCGAACAATTAATCCAGCAAGTACGACTCGACAACCCAATTTCCAAGGAACTCGAGCATTAGCTGGTGATGATGACTTTGATGATGCAGCTTCAGTGAATAGTACATATGGAAACTGAAAGCAGACTTCTTGATTCACCAATAAACCATTATTTCTTTTTCTTTTTTGTTTTTTCATTTTGCATAAAAGAAATCGTTTATATACAATATTTCAAGAAAAAAGAACGACATTCAATTGAATAAATCTAATAAATTTTTGTTAATGAAGTCGTTCTTGAGTAAATGGGGGTAATGATAAACGTAATAAATTTGTTTTATTATTGTTTCTATCAGCATTTACTTTTAGTCTATTTGATGGTCGGTATATAATTGGTGCTGCATTTGGTATTTTTCTTTTTCCTCGAGGTGTACTTGGATAACGTTTTAATAGTGAAATTTTACTTGGTTTCTGAAAATTTTCTTGATTATGACGATCTTTACGACGTTTTTTACAATGAAGAATTCTTTTCATTGTACGAATACATGCTAAACGATATTTACGGGAAAATAAATGATAAAATATCGGATTTACGGTTGAACCGATATAATAAAAAATTCCACTAATAAAATAAAATATAGTTATTGCACGTTGTTGAAGTAATGATAAATGTGAAACATTTAAACGACTTGTTATCAAACGTTGAACATGAAATGGAGCATAGCATATAATAAAAGCAATGACAACGGCAACTAGAAAACAAGAGAATAGCATAGCGAAATAGATCAGCATTAGCAGTTTAAGATTTAATAAAAAAATTCGAATGTTTTCTTAATATATTTTGATTCATTTAGCGTCTCTTTGAATACTCGCTCTACGAGAGAACCACTCTAAATAATTAGGAGTTTTTGAGCTGATATTTTTTTCACAGATAGAACGCAGTGAGTAGATATAGGCAAAATGGTTCCGCAGGGATCGGAACCAAGATTGACACTTTATCACTGGGAGTAATATCTTTTATGATTGTGTGAGACTTGTGTCAAATATTATATTCTCACAACTCATGTATTCAAAAATTTTATGCGAAAATTACTCAATAACAATCAGTTTAATATTTTCTGTCACAATTTTGATAGTAAACTTAAACATTTTGTTTTTCGTAGTCAACTGAATTGTTGAACACATAAACGTGCAGAATAGACGGGGTATTAGTGAATTAAAAAAGTAATGAATCTCGAAGAGGGAGGACATTGGGGATCATGCAAGATGTCTCGAGCACATTGATACTGATAGAAAATGATGTTACATTTTTCACAATGAATATATAACTAACCGCGAAACCAAATCAAATTTCTTTTTTCTAATCAGAACTAAAGACCATCAGTCCCGCTACTCATCAGTTACAATGAGACTAGAAAAACTATGATAGGGTAAGAGTCTATACGTCTTTCTTGCTGAGTTACGAGTAGAAATGTGTAGAAACAATTTTTGTTTTTGTCCCAGTAGCTTCTTTTTGAACATTTTTGGATCCTGCGCATACCTATTTAGGTGCAACAGTAACTGGGAAAATAAATCAAATCAGAAAACAGCACCGAAAGAGACATCTTCTCTATCATTTATTCCAAGTAAAGATGTATTATCAAAGGATTTCTCATAATCATATTTTGACAAACAAAAAATAAACAATTAGTTAAGAATGACGAAGACATATTTTAGTATTCATAATGATAAAACTTGTCTTTTTATACGAGTGTGTATATAAGTCACAGAGTTAAGGACATCATTTAGTCTAGAATTCCAGTCTCAGCTTCGTACATATTTAGTTACGAGCATTTTGCTAGGTCTATCATGTACAATAAGAAATTTATCGAAAACTTAAGGTATAGAATTTTGATCTGAAATTTCTACCAAATATATAGATCTCATGATTCCTATAGTAACCTAAATATTATAATCAAAACAAATGCTGCATTCTCTAGATCACTGAATCTTCATAAAACACCCTTGTAGTATCACATGCTACGAAAACCAACTTTTCTTGAAATTTTGCTATCCTGAGAAAGAAACATTCATTTTGATTGTGACATTTAGGTCGTTATAAGGGTCATCCCATGTATATGTGAGGGAAATTTCAGATCAAAATTTTGTACTTTGTATTTTTGATAAACCTCTTGTTATAGTTGATAAACCTAGTAAAATTTTCATCATTTAAGCAGAAAGATCAATGTGTCCTTATTCTATAAGGCTTTTTTTAGTCTTAATGTATTCTATTTAGGAGAGATAAATTTCGCTCAAAAAATTTGAGTTACTTGGAGCGCTTTCCTCGTTAGTAATTTTTGTCAAAGCTAATTTATGATATAATTAAATGAGAGCACTATTTTTCCCGTTATAATGTCAAGATAATATTGATATTAATAGAATGATCCAATAGAATTTCGATATCTCAAGAATGATGGTTCGGAAAGCCAAATCATTGTAGACTTTTCGATTACTCATTAGTGCTCATTAAATGAACATTTTCTCGGTCGAAAAGCAATTTGACACTTGGAGATGTTCTCTCGTCAGACTAAAATTACATTTAATTCTATTTCAAATAGACTTGTCTTTGTTGAAATTAATTCTTTTTTTTTTATTTTTTTAAATAGATTGTATTATAAAACTTAATAAATTTCATCCACTTGACAACCTATTAGATACAGACATAATTAAGATTTTTGACCAAGTTAAATAGAATTTTTAAAGATTCAAAAACAAAATGAGAAAGATGAGATCAAAGAACTGATCTGATATATATATATATTAAGTTATCGACCAAACCAAAAAAGAAACAAAAAAGATCGTTAATCTTATATTTATTGGTTCTCAAATTTGACCTCTGTCATAGATAATATTTAAAGTATAAATATATTATATGTTGTTAAGTTTTATTGAATTAGTTATCAACCAAAAACAACAAAAGTCTTTTTAGCTTATATATTCATTGTAGTAGAATAATAAATGTCTTCTCTTGAAACTTGATGCTCAAAAAATAAATATGCTCATTTACTTGTTCATAAAACTCATTTCGGACATCCTTTTCTGATGTCGACATAGAAGAAAAATATCTAATGCATATATTAGAATATGAATGGTGAACATGAATATTCTGTTTGTTTAAAAATGACAAGTGCATGTTAATATTCTCTTAATGAAAATGATAAAAGAAAATTATTTCCTAGTTTTGTGTCTAATTAAAAGCTAAATTTGTTTATGTTTAGTGCTACCTAAAAGAAAATTTTGCTTCTGACATATCCAAACAAAAAAAGATAGACAGAAGATAATAACTTGATGATGAATTTGACATTTTCTCATGTTTTACACAAGAATAAGTATAAAGCTTACTTATTTTCCTTATTTTTTGAAGCAAAAACTGCATTAATAAGCCTGTCATTTAGAAAATCATCTCTTTTTTTATATGTATGAAATTAAAGACAAACAACCACAGTCATCATAATATATAATATTACACATATACTTAATATTATGAATTATCAGATTATGTCTGTTAGATATGAACTTTTCAAGGTTAATAGTAATAATAACTAATGGTATTGGTATCAAACGTTTGTTTTGAATGGGCTGCATCCTTCTAAAAATTACAAGTGGTAGAGAATGGAAAAGTATCTTTTATTTTGTTTGTTCTTCCTCAGAAAAATAAATGAAAACCAATTTTATACATTGACACAAATATAAAATGTCATGAGCATTTGAAAAGACTAGCTGCTTGATTCTTGAAGTCTGGAATCAAGAGACTCGAAATTTCTTGTACGCCAAAGCTAACAGATGCAAAGACATAGTTGACTCAAATTCATTCTATTTCTTGACTGAGTCGAACTGTATATAATTGAAAGACAAAATCAAATAAATTTTTGAACGATGTAAAATTCATAATATTTTGCAAAATATTTCGAAATTTTTCTGCAAATTTGTCTAATTTAAAAAAGTTCAATGATTCTGCATCAAATCGGTTCTACTTTCTTTCTTACAAAAGAACACTTATCATGAAACACACAGTAAAATAATATGAAGAATCTGCTAACATTCAATCTTTATTTCGGATGCATCTTCTATTAACCACAATTTTAAATAGGTAAGATGACTGTCATTCATAGATTTTTGAATAGAATAATTAATTATAAACTGTATATCAGAAGTAATTCATCTATAAGTAACTTGCGATAATAAAATTGTTCTGGTAACTATCATCAATCAGAGAACATTTGCAGGAGTGCAGCATTTGACATGAATATCTTTGTGACTGTTAAATTTAAAGTACTCTGTTATCAGTATGTCATATCAACCTTTCAGTACTTTATGAGCCTTTAGTATTTGACTATAAAATGCTTCTAAGAGTTCAATCTATTGAGTTGTTAAAGAGTTTTTCACAGAATACTATAGAAACTGGATAGGTACCTAGTAAATACCTATTTACGAAGACAATTATCAGCAGAATACTCAACTAACCTAGTACACGAATACCTTGAATTCAGAATATTCACTAAAGTATAATTTATTTTTGAAAATCGAAGTTCGATAGAACTGGTTTATATTTAAACATCGTTTCCATCACAAGATATCTTTTTATACTACATTTAAATTCATGTTTATCAAACCAATAGATTCTTCAAAATATTAATATTTAAAGTTTTTCGTCGCTGACTTATTAAAGTTCTAAATGGACTAAGTCAAACTCAACCGAGCACTGACGTTACTATTAATTAATAATATTAGACTTGAAAAAATTACAAAGGATAAAGAATTGCGTGCTTTTTTTTAATTTTGTACCCATAGGATAAAACAGAACGTGGGATTACTTCTAAAACAAATCTTATTGAATACGAGAGATTGACATCCGAATAAGAAAATATCTAGACGAAAAATCTCTTCATGTCATTCATTATTTTTTCAATAGCATGACAAATTACCTTCAGATAATTTACATTTTATCTGTTTTCATTTAGGAAGATTAAATAGAGCTCATAATCTCGAGTATTCTTGTCTTGCTAGAAAGATAATTGACAAGTTTGACATAATTCAATATTATTCAACAAATTTATGTAAATTTTGATTATTTACAATTCGAACAACATTTCGCATCTTTGAAAGAAGATCAATTCAAACTTACATAAACTTTATAAAACTCAATTGAATATAAAAAACAAAAAAGACTATAGAATTCTTTTATAAGTTAAATTTGTTAGTGATACAGAAAACAAAATGGTCATAGAAATGACTAGACAAATTAGATCTTTTTTCTTATCAATCAAAGTTAACTTAAAAAACGATATGTATATATATATATAGCTTGTTCTGTTCTTATACTCAATTTATTTGTACAAATTTTATATAACTAGATCGCCGAATATGAAATCCGCATACGCCTCTGTACGTTCCCTATTTCTTTCTACACGATGGTTTACGACCGTGCTTGTTTGATTTGAGTAAGTTTGAAAAAGTTTTCTGTTGATGATGTTACGCCACTTTAATTGTCGATAATCAAAATTTAAATAAATTCGTAGAAGAATATCGAATTATATCAAAACATTAAGTATTAATCTTTCATAGAAAATGAATGCTATTTGAACAAATCTATACTAAATTAGTACTCAATAGAATACTCTTTTTTTATACACATATAATAATGACTTGGCTCATTATCATGTCTCGGATTGATATTAATTGAAAGGTAAAGACAATAAGAGAAAAAGAAGAAACCGATGATAATAATGTTAGAAACTTAATCTTTTGAAGGCTGGTTGGTACATATATCTTTAGGTAAAGTCGTGGGTGTTCAATAGTGTAATAAGTTTAAATAGAAAAATTAATAATGTTAATGATTTATTTAATTCTTTTCTCATTTGATAAAAAAAACATTATGGCGTCTACAAGTTTCCTTCCATTATGAATTAATAGAAATACTGTCAAAGATTTCCATTTGTTAATCAAAAAATATTGTCAAAATAAAACAAGGCAATGTTAATGAATAATTAAAAGTCTATTGCAGATTAGTCTAAATTATGATGTATTTAGTTTAATAGCAAAAGTTTACAGATGTCTGTTTCTGTTTTCGATTAGTACTTAATAACAAGAACACAATGAAGACGTCTAAACATGATTTCTAATGAAAATGTTTTATAATATGGTTGAGAACATTCAGAAGTAATATTCTAAGCGTACAGGTTCTTGTAAGAAAGAACAATGAAATTTTTAATGATTCCAAAGATAGATTGTTGCACTTCACTGTTTTAAGATTATGAATATCAACCTACAAGAGATGTGTTGATGCTAGTTGCATTCTTAGATATTTTAATATTTCTACGAGATTAATATCTAATGTTCCATGATAATGTGGGAAGAAAGTAGAATTACTACGGTGTTGATTTTCTTCACAAAAAATTAATATATTTATTATACAATATTCTTTTGTTATTAACAATAGTTACTAAGAAATACCGAACTCTATTAATTTATTAATATATCTGTTGAAAAATCTATTATGAAATTATAGACTTGTTAACACTTTCTATATCGTGTACTATGAAAATATTCTAGTAAAAAAGAAACAAATCGTATACATATCATCAATCGAAAATCATATTAAAAAATTGACTGTAACTATAATGATAAAATAAACTTACAAAGCATTTTAAAAGCTGATTTTTTCATTGCTTGTATGTGTAATAACAAACCAGGTGATGCTCTATTTCCATTACGATATGTTGACTGTCGTGTTAATGTTAAAGTACGTGATAATGAATAGTTAGTCGGTCGAAATTGTCGTTTTTCTAAACGACTATCGACACTTCGGTAAGGTTGTAGATTCATCGGTAAAAGATTCGAATTATTTTTTTCATTTTTTGACCTATGTATTTCATGAAGTAAACCAATATTATATAATCGTTGTGCCATTAAAGCATATAAAAGACAAAGTATAAATGCTGGTAAAAGAAAAAAACAAATGGCTGATATGTATAAACATATAGTAACAAATAATTGAAAATTTCGATCAAATAAACATTGATGATCAACATTGTTTGTAAAATAAAAATAAGGTGTAGATGACAGTATAGCAATAAGCCAAATAAATATTTGAACTTTAATTGCACGTCGTATTGTCGATAAAGATGATATACGAAAAGGACCACAGACAGCTAAATAACGTTCAATTGTAAATGCGCTAGTTTAAAAGAAAATTTTAGATTTTTGTCATGAGTTTTTTAGGTGCTTTTTTTTAAATTTCGTTTTACCTTATGGTTAGTATAGATGCATTAGTTGAAGTTTCGGCAAGAAGAGCACGAATTCGACAGCCAAGATGACCCCAAGGAACTTCAATCGGTAAAAACTATTAATTAAAAAGACAAGAATGGAAAGTTTTGACGCGTTGTTCTTTTTTTTTTATAGATAAAAACATTTACCGAAATTTCAAATGGTAAACTAACAATTAATGGTAATGTATCACTTATAGCTAAATTAAGTAAATAACAATTAGTTACTGTTCTCATATCTTGATTAAGTGAAATAATTAAAATAGTTAAAATATTATTGCCAATTCCAGCACAAAAAATAGGTATATAAATTGAACCTTGTATAATTTCAAGTGTATTTGTAAAATAATCATCGTATGAAAATAAAGAATTATTAGTAATATTTGTTGTGTTCATTTTTAATAATTATTAATTAATTTAATGTGATTATTATTTGTCAACAATATTTCTTTCTTCAATTGAATGTTGACGTTACTGTCAGGATCTGTTGACGAACATCGTCTGATTGCTCTTTTTAACACCAGATTATTTCTTTATTCTAGAAAAAATAAAAGAGAACAGCAAAAAGCAAAGGAAGATTAAAAAAATGTCGAAACAAAAAATGCAAGAAAATTCAATAAATGGTAATTATCTAAACAAGAATATTTCATTCGACAACATACATTTCATGTCACATCGCATCATAGTATATTTCATACGATTGTCTTAGAGTAAAATGGGTTGATAAAAATAACCGCAAGTTTTTTTTTTCTCCATACGGAAGTAAGATATATTTATATTGACTTTTTATTATCTACTCTGAAGATTCAGATTTAACTCATAATCCTCTCGTTAGATGCGAGAAAAAAAAACTCAATCGCTTTTACTAAGAATAAACTTTTCTTATTTTAATAGGAAAAAACTTCTTGTGAATGCCCACATTTCCTTTTTTCTCTTTTGAAAGAAAAACAGTAAGTGCACCAGATTCGGGAAAAAAAAGAGGATTTATCATTTTCAAGCATACTAACTAAAATATATCAAGTCATATGTAAAGTCATACTTAATATGAAAGTTCTATATAGATGTTTTACATATATTGAATGGTTAAACATAATCAAGTCTGAAATCAGGTATGAATCACATAAACATAATCTAAGCCTATTCACTTTTTCCCTTAGTTTCACACAAATCGTCTATATGTCAAGAATATTCTTCTGATCTTTTCTCAACAATTGATGTCTTCTTAGGGATTTTCTTCTTATGTGTTGTGTTCCGAACGACAAATGAGGCTTTTTTTTTTTTATTCTGAGCGTTATTTTTTTATAAAACAAATGCGCATAATAACGAGAGAGAGAGAAATTTTAAGTGCAGTTCATTAAGTTACTATCTGTTACAAGCGAATATAATTTGCATTATATACACACCTATCTTCAAGCGAACAAAATATTAAAATGTAACACTATTTGCTAGGTCAATGTGTCGTTAAGAATGAATAAAGTAAACGACTTTTATCAGATCTTTTCTTTTCGCAGACACTTCTATAATTAACTGAACAATAAACAAGTATACCGTTATTAATATAAGAAAAATCTAAAAAAGAAAAATACAATCTGCGAAAAGATTTTATTATTCAATGCGTAAATAATTTTTCATTAATATCTTAAATAACTAATGAACAAACTATATAGTGTGTATGAATATAAAACGTTGGATACATTGATCAGAATTAAAATCGAATAAACTGGTCACGGTAAATTCTTAAGTTTCATTATATTATAATTTCGCTCTAAAAAAAAACTAACACTCATATTAAAAGATTCACTTAGTTAACATCTAAAAAATTGCGTGACGGCATTCAATAGAAAAGAAAAGAAAACTTGTTTGATCCTGAGATTATTCTCATGAACATAAAATTTTTGTCTTAATATTCGATGTATTTGCTTTATCACATTAATCTGTAATATGCTTCTACAGATGCTCAAAAACACGCTGTAACACGAGAATAATAACGATCCACAAAAAAAAAAAAGAATATTTAATCATTTTTGTCATTTATTATTAAAAGAAACGAACATATGATAATCTTTCAGTCAAATATGAGAAGTATTTAGTCAAAACAAGATGAGATAATTGCGTTTTTTAAAATATGATATTGTTAATTAAAATCATAACTACTCATTGCACTCAAGAACAACCTTTGATATTGACTTACAGTCTTTCACTGGAAAAAGATAATAGATTATGGATATATTATCAAATTATTTTATCAGCAGAATAAACAAATGTTACCGAAAAAGAAAAAGAAAATCTGTTTTTTTTCTATTTTTTCTCATCAATATTTTATATATGAGCATCTTCATTAATGACGATAGAAGATTACCAAACATTACTTTTCATTGTAATAATATCAAGTAGTCTCTAAAGAATGACTTTCGTATTATTTCTGCAATAATTTGAACATCTTTTTATTTATTTAAAAGTTTTTTGAAAAGATTTATCTGTTAATTTATCTGGAAAAATATTTTTCTAAATATTCTAAATAATTTTTCACTCTTTTTCTTTATTGCACATTCTAATAATTAAAAAATTTATATACGCTTTATAATTTAAATTTTTAAGCAGTTCACCATACGCACGAGTTCATCTTATAGATTACAGTCAGAAGACTTTCAATCAAGATTATTAAAAAATCAGATGAATAGTCTCTATCGAGCAATAATGAATTAAAAATTAACACAACACTCGTATGAAAAAATATTTCATATCATTCATCACAAAAGACTATCGACTTTGTAATAACATTGATTCTAATCCAGTAAAAATCACTATATAAGATTGATCGCTTCCTGTCATGAATTGAAGCGAAGTTGAAGTAAAAAAGAAATATAAACAGATGTAACGTAAAGTAATTAAATGAAAGAAAAAGTTGTTTTTGCAAACTTATGACAATGAAAAACAAATGGTTTGTTTCATTTGAATAAAACATTATTTCAAAGCTTTTGACACATAGAAACAGTGTGTTTTTACAGAGAATTGACAGACAAATCTGATTAAAAAAGGTTCATTCAATAGATGAAACAATAATATTGAAAAGAACATTCTTTACTTGTTATAATTTATTTTTTTTGCATAAATTTTAGTTTCTAAATCTTAAAGTTACATTTCAAACTTACCAATGAGTTTCATTTTATAAACTAATCGATAAAAGTGGCTGCTTTTTAATGCTTTTACGTTATTCTTACGCTTATGATAGTCATAAAAGCAGAAAATCTTGAAGATTTTCTTTTTGTTGAAAAGAACTGGAAAATCTTTGTAAAACGACAGAAAGAAAAATCATAATAATCTGTCTCATGTATCATGTTCAAAACTAAAACCGACAGTTTATTATTTCATGATGAATAATTTTCTTTTCATTTTTTATAAATATTCATTCAGTAGTACAGATTAATGATTGTCATTTGAAAAGAAGACGCAAGAATGAAATAATTGATGTAAAACAGAATGACAAGAGAAAAAAACCAAAAACCAAGAACACACTGTTAAAATAAATCTAGGCATATATTGCTGTTAGTTGTTGTTCACCACCTAAAAAAACAATTTTTGGATTATATGATGACGAATCCGTTGTAGTAAATGGTAAAGTATCATTAACATTATCATCATTTGATGGTAATAGAGTTGATGAAAGTTGAACATTGTTATGAAAAACTCCATAGATAATATTATCGTAATTACTCGTTGTCGGAATATTTGTTTGTTGTTTCTTTTTGTAGACGGAATCACTCGATGAATGATAATGTTTTTTCCATCGTTGTCGACGTAATATACATATACTTATTCCCAGAATAATAATAATCAAAAAAAGTATTAGAGATGAAACAATTATTGAAATAGTAACAATATCAAATGATATGAAATGATGTAATTTATAATCAGTATTCTGGCAAGTTCCATCTACACAAGTATTTCCTAATGGGCATTGGATGAATGAATTACATGGTCCATTTGTTAGACCTTCACAGTAAGCTAATAAAAAACAAAACAAAAACAAAACTATACAAAAAAAAAAAAAGATAACAATATGAATCATTCACCTCGATCATCATCTAAGATTTTTTTGTTAGATAAATCATTTGGACATATACACATTGTTGATGAACGATTCTGATGACACCATTCTAAACAATGAATATTTTTCATTGTACATTGATCGATATTTTCAACAGCATGAATACATATTGATTGTTGATTTTTCATTAAATAAGATTGAAAAGGTAAACGACATATACAACGATATCGTTCTAAATCACATTGATAAGTATTAAATGGATAACATAAATTTTCATTTGAACAATAATCATTTAATGTTGATTCGATTTTTAAATTAATTTGAAATAATTCATTATGATTAGTACGATAAAGTGTTTTTGTTAAACAATTAATAGTTGTTAAATTTCTTAAATATGTTATACCTGATGATAAATACATTATATTTGTATCGCTAAATGTTGTACGAACAAATTCTCCACGTAATGTTAATGATGATTCAACTGATGTCCAATTAAATAATTGATTATTTGAACATTGAATTATATTTAAATTAAAACTTATTAATGGTTTTTGAGATACATTACGTGTTATAACTTTAATAAATAAATTTTCTTCTTCATTATTATCTAATAAATATGGTACGATCATTGATAATGTTCGATTGTCAGTCGTCATATTAGAATACGAAGAATTGAATGTACAATTTGAAAGAAGAACTAACTTATTAGGAATACAAGATGTATTCTCTGCAACGCCGACGATGACAGTGACGACATATATCATTAGAAAAAGAAGAAATAAACTATTAAACAGCATGAGATCTCAATGTTTGTCCATGAGCCCACTTAATTTGGTAGGAAAGCATTACGTGCTAGTTCCTAAAAAGAAGAGCCATGGGTAACTATCGATCATCATCAAAAAGTAATAGAAACAAAAAAAAAGGAAGAAAATGCTTGTCTATTATAACAAATCAAACAGAAACCACTGATGATGAGCTCAACATGGAATAATGTAGCTGTGATAGATGATTGTTGAGTGTATGTATATATGCTTTGTTTAGTTCATATACACGTACACAATAATTGACAATGATCATTTTCATAAGCTTCATTAGACTACTCAAAGCAGATATGACGCATTATAATCAATGTCGAATCAGACTATTTTAAGCTATTCAGATACATTAAATCGATCTATTGAATATTTTTATTTACTACTTATTAATATAAACAATAAAAATAAAATAGAAATGTTTTATGTTAAACAATAGAATAACGTGAGTGTAAAATGTCCTTGGTCATCGAGAAAACCAGATCATCAACTAAAAAATACAGATGGATTGCTTCACTCGTACTTACTCTTTTTTG